GTATGTGGGATTGATTTAAAATAAACTACAGTGTGTGTGTGTGTGCGTGTGTGTGTGTGTGTGTGTGTGTGTAATGAAGGAATAAAGTGGGAGTGTGAGAGGATAGGAATGTTCTAGGCGAGCGGTTGGAGCTGTGTGTGTGTGTTTCTCTCTCGACAGATGTGGGTTTGTGTCAGTTTAATCAGTCAGAGATAAATCTAGCATGATATACACATTTAAAAATATTCCTTTTAGTGGATCCTATCTGTTATCTGTTTGTTTGTGTGTCCACTGGTATGTAAAGGGTGGTGCCGTGTACGTGACGGGGAGTCGTCTGAGGGCGAGAATGTTCTAGGATATGTGTGTGTGACTTCATACTGTGTATGCAGCTCTGTGTGTTTATTGGTTTGAGGAATTTGCTGCTGAGACAGACTCCTGACATCTCTGTGGTCAGCTCTCCTCTTCCTCCTCTTGCTTGGGATGACGAGGTCAAATGCCTGCCATGATTTCATTAGTGTAATAATTCCTCTGCAGGGAGGGGATCCAGAGCTATGTATACACACACAATGTCAAGACTGTGGGAGAGCTGCAGCACCATGTTAATATGGTGGCTAGGTCGGAGATGAGCTCCTTACATAACCGGAGAGGGCTCTGTCGATTAGGAAGAGGCTGCGCCAAAGCTGGCCCATCAGCAGGCAGCCTGCATCAGTTATCAGCCCTTTTCATAGCACTGTCACCAAATTAGAGGGTAATTTTAGCTGCTTCATCTCTCCCAGGCTCAAAGGCTCCTTGTGCAGCCTGGATGCTTTATCAACTCAACCCCTGCCACGACCAGGCGGACATGTTTTCACAAGCTGTTTATATCCACAAAATGTGTCTAGACATATATCTGTGAAAAGGGAAGCTGATTATTTGAATTTCTAACAATAGCCTAACTGATATTATGTATCAGCTAATAGTTTCCATGTTTGTTTTACATGAACATAAAGTAATGAGACTTTTTTGAATGCGTTAAATTTGTTTTTATTCTGACACTGACACCATTTCCGAATTACCACAGACATATTTCGTGTTACCTATTGGCCCATATAAACACCAATACAGATACATCTGCGATAAGCTAATATTAGCAGATTTATTGGTTGAGCTCTAATTTAAAATATTACACTCATGCACATATAACCATGTATGGAGCTGGGAAACATCACTCTAGCATACTGTAGTATCATTTCATTCAAAACATGCAGATTTTATTTCTGAGTTCAGGTACTAATAGCAACATTCTGGATATCTTATATGTTGGTTTTCTACATGACACTTTTTTATTTAGCAAAATAAGTAAAAACTTAACTCAAATATTCAGTGTTCAATACATAAAGCGGAATTTTGTCTTAATATTGTAAAAAGTGGCAATATTATTATTATTTAAACCAGTAAATATCTGGTCTGGAATAAATAAACAAGATTAAGAATCTGCTCAACCAGCATGTGGTACTTTTTTAGATACACAGTGTTACAGACATTTTATTTTAATATCTGGCCATAATTATGACAATATGATCAAACATATGTCTACTGTTTTTCATAATGTCTAAATGAATGATTCAAACAATCTGAACTTAAAAACAAAAGTAGCTGCTAATTCTTAAAGGTTACTTTTACATTTTTGTGAAGGGTTTTGTCTCAAATGATAGTTCATTGTATTGAATATCAATTTGATTATTCTTATGTGATTTTGAATATATTTGCCATATAGTATATAGTGCCATAAAAAGTTGGATTTTTAGCATACAGGCTGAATTACTATTAATTGTTTTTTAAAGAAAAACACTTTTAAAGATTTTGTAAAAAAAAATGTTGCTGTCAATGCCAGCACCTATAAGGACATCATACATTCATGATGATTGTTTCCCAAAAATGTCTTGCTTAAAGATGTTATAAAAGCGCCAAACATCGCCTCCTAAACATATCACTATCAAGGTGTTTGGATGGAAATAACAGTGTTTTATTTTTGTTGTAAACACCCAGCTTGTGTATGAATGCACACTGCGTTTGCAGGAGGATGAGACAGACACAGAGGCTATTTTAGGAGCAGTATCGCAGCACTGCAGTGCTGGAGGAACACATTTGCTAAGGTTGTGAATGATTTTAGCTAACAGCTCGTTGTATTTGAGTGTGGGGTGTACAAATATGTCAACAAAATGTATTGAGAAAGGATAAAAGTGGAGAGGAAAAACGTCTGCCTGCTTGCCCAACATGAGTCGCTGCATCACGTGAAAATAATGGGGTTAGGCACTTCCGCCTGTTAGGTACACCTCTCTCATTCGGTGTGAATCTTCAGCAGGGGTTGGGGGCAGGAAACCACTGAGAGGTACATAGATAAACAAACCATAAATAGAAACCAGAACCAGCGATGCGCTCCCTCTACTCTCTTTCTCTCACACTCTCTCTTTCTCACCATGTAGGTCACCTCCTCTTCTCAGTTTTCTTTTTTTTCCTCAAATGAATCATCGCTGTTGACAGCCGTGCACAGAATGATAAATGTGTCATCCTCCCTCTTCTGCCGTTTGGCAGCTATTGTTCTGGTCAAACTAAACATTTTCATCCATACACTTAAACCCACACACATTATGACACAAACCCTTAATGGGGATTGTAACCTGTTCCCACGCATGTTCGAGTCAAACTGACGCAACTCGCAAGATGAAGCTGAAAGACAGCAGGAAGTATGACAAAAGCAGGACCACAACATGTATCACAATTTGTGCAGTTTACAAGAAAGTTGACCTTCTATAACTGATGTTATTATGACTAAGCTTTAAGCTTTTCAACAGTCTTTAAATGTGAAAGTTGTGCGTATAAGCTTTTCACACCACTCTCTCCACAGACTGTGAAAGTGTAACAAAGGGGATTAAACTGAATTTATCCAGTAAACCAACTGAATAAAAAACAAGCCAGTCTGCTAATACATACAAAATCTACAAAATGATAAAAGCTCTAATATATAAAAGAAGTTCATAACACATGTACCACATTATTTATTCACTATTAGGTACACCTGTACTATTGAATTCAGTCTAATACAACAGCTCTGCCATAACGTCTGTCTTTAGGCAGCTCATAATGTTCAGCTTTTAGTGACATTGTCAGAAACGTGTGAATTCAATTATAAGTGTATTACTACGGTTATGGTTAAAGGTAGTGTTGTACTGGACTGCATTATATATAGAGAGGTGTTGCAAATTTTTTGTTCTCCATATTTACATACAATGAGGGGACAGAAAAATAGAAACACCTAATATGACTGTATCACACCATCACTAACTGTGACCTCAGTGCTAAAACATGACAGCCTCAACAAAACTGAAGATTATAGATATCATAAAAGTGTCAGAACAGTTGTATTAGACTGCATTAACCTGTACAGGTAATAAAGTGGACACTGAGTGTATATATAAAATCATCTCTTGTATCTGTGGAAAGAAGTACGCCAATTAATTAGTAATTCCTTAAATAAAAAAACACTTGTAGCGTATACCTCTGGGTTCCTGTAATTGACTAAATGAGCCGTTGAAAGACAACAGCTCTGGGATCTGATATAGACTCATTCTAAATTCATCTAATGAAGATCATCATTAGCTGCTGCCCTAAAAAGCTAATTATTTGTGTGTTCTGAGTTAAACTCATCGGACATACAACAGGTGTGCCTTGTTTCTAATTCACATGCCAAGTTCCCCACATATCAAAATAATCTTCCGACTTTGTAGCTCGCTGATTGTGGTTATTCAAAAGAAAGGCGTACGTTCTGTGCTGTGGCCAAGAGCGTGTGGCAACTTGATAATTATCTCTTTAAAGAGACAAACCTGGGCAAGGGCCAAGATGCAGAAGGAAATGGGACAGTATTTTGTTCCCCAGAATGAGCCATCCTTCATCTGATGAGCCTCTGTCATCAGATACATAAAAAGAAAATGAACTTAATAGGGATACATTAGACTTTAAAACATTCAAATCAATCATACACACCCAATATTCTGTCTATGAAACACAATGAAAATGATTTTTGATGTTTTAAATAAACTTGTTCTATTTATCCTGTTGCTGTTCAACTGTTAATTCACCAAATGTTATACATAGTGTGTTTATCAGATTCATGTATTTTTATAAATCTCTTTAATGTTTTCACAGGTAGCTGGACCAAAGGAACCCGTTACAAGTCTGAGACACTGAAAAAGGGGGAGACAAGCACAGAGGCTTCCTTCAGACTGTTATCACATCTTCTGCTCAGCTGGGAGGACTGTCTGAAAGTCCGAAATAAAACCTTCACTCCCACCTCTGAGGAATTCAGGAGCCTTGGAGCTTGAAGGAGTCATTCCAGCAGAGCATTATAGGACACCTCCCTCTTTCTTATCAACAAGCCACCTAGAGGGTCACACAGGGTCACCTGAACAAACTGGACCAAGAGCAGAGAGAAAGACTGGAGCGTATTCTTTCTTTCTCACACACTCAAGTTGACGTGTAACAAACACCCGCAGCCAAAAACAGGAAGTCAGGCGGGTGTTTAAGCAAGAAACACATGCAAGGGCTAGTTTGAGAAGGCAAGAGTTTCCTTGGCAGGCCACAGGATATAGTTTAAGACAATACCTCTTGAACTGCCTGAAACCACCCCTCCCCTTCCCCACTCTGTGAATGCAGAAATCCACCAACCTGTACTGTATGTATATATGTGAGCATCTGTGTGCATATGAGATTATTTATTGGTGTTATCACTGAGTGAGAACATATCTTTGTGCTAAAGTACTAAACTGTCCTTGTGTGTGAATATTCTGCAAATAGCCATCAGAGACAGCACAGGAACATCAGCATCATTGATTAGAAACAACAAAAACTACCTTTAAGTAGTCAACACTGGTCAAACACTGTAAGCTGGACTGTTAAATCATCTGTACATATCAGCGGTGACAGAATAAGAGCTTCGGATTGCGGTGCTCTGGCTGAGCTCCTCTATCTGTCTTCCCCTCACAAAGACTCAGGCTGACAGTAGCGCCCACCAGAAGGGGGGGATCTCTGAGGGAAACATGGAGGCAACCATCCGTCCCCATGTCCCCTCGAATGGCTGACTCCAGAGACAGAGCCCACTTTTTTTCCCCTTGCCCAGAACCAGGCAGGGTTGTCCAGCACTGATAAGAGCCACAGCCCCTTTCTCTTCCACCTCCAAAAAACGTGCGAATGTCCTGCCTCAGACGTCAGCCCGTCACCATCCCCATGGACACCGTCAAGATCATCCAGTCGGAGAAGTTCCCCAGGGAGTGCCCTGTGCCCGTCACCCAGCCGCGCTATGCCCCGCCCCCAAGAGTGGCGTGGGACGGCGGAGGCGAAGGCGAAATCATCGTCAACCAGGCCTGCAGCGACCTGACCCTGGACATTGCAGGGTCCCCCCGGCCTATGGTGTCCCCGGCGGCCCCCGTGACGCGCAGGGAGCAGAGCTTCCTGGCGCAGCGCAAAACCAGTGCCAACGAGATCTGCTACCACCAGTTCCACTACAAGATGGAAGACGTGATAGTAAACCAGTATGTGCTGCGCTCCTCCTCCACCTCCTCCTCCACTTCTT